ATATATATATATATATATTATTAAATCTTGCCATTGAAGATTGTTTTGTATTTATTTGTGTTATCTATATGTTATTATGCTGTAAAGAGAGGATTTTAATGGGAAGCAGGTTGGACCCGATGGGATTTTGGAGAAGCAAATTGGACAGGACGATGTACCTTCGTTACGTACCACTATGTAAGTTCACAAAAGCACACTAACAGGAACAGTTGTTCTACTCTTGAAAAACCTCTCTTCCTAGAAGCAACCTTGGAATTATGATCCTAAACTCTTTCCCTCGTGGTCATCGTTGTCATGAAGGCATATCACGTGCCACTCTCTGCCTTGAATTTATGAGGACACCCCATTTGATGGAAAAATAATTGATTTTTATGTTATTACACAGAATACTTCTCTTCCTCTTCCCATAGTGAAAATAAATCTTCTTGAGGACTGTTTCTTCCTTGTTCTGTTCAAGTACAGCCAGATCTGGTTGTTATTGCTTTGGACAAATGTCACAGTGTCAAATGGAGTAAGGTAGTGTCTCCACTCTTGGTAGGTGGATGCCTGTGTTTTGCCAACTATCTGCCCAACCGAATTTTTTTTCTCTGATTATTTTCCAGTATTCAGCCCCGTATCCTACTGTGCCAGGCTTGAGGCACTTTCACCTTTACACTCAGATCAATATCTCTACAGTCAACTAAAAAGTAAAACTGAAATTTAGTTTTTGCCTTCATTTAGAGGTTGTATTGTTTTGTTTTGTTTCTTACGTTGTGCCTCTGTAATGCAAAGCAACGAAGCCCAGAGCTCACTAGCCCTGGCCCTCCCACCCAGCACGTGGCATACACCTAACTCTACCTGGTTAAAGATCAGCTCTCTTCCATCATGTGTTTATCAAGGGCCTGCTGTGTACCCCGCACTGTGCTTGCAGTACCTCAGTGAACAAAAGAAAGGGTTTTGCCATCCGAAGCTTCCGTTCTGGCCGAGGAGGAGAGAGTCATCACATCCCAGAGGTTTAATACGTAAACATAAACTTAATGTAAAAACTTTTTCCATTTTAAACTTCTTTCACTGAAAGAGCAAATTAACAGAGCTACTAGATACAGTATAAAGAATTGGCATAGAATAAACATGGAAGATCTCCCTCTTCCCCTTTCTAGGACACTCTTGGTGGTTTCACCAAGTGACCAGACTACGATTAATGAGTCTCCACTGTTGTTTTTCCGAAGGCCATGGCCAAGTCCCCCTTGTGGCAGATTTTGAAGAAATATCACACACTTCCAAAACAAATGACATGGAAGAAAATACAAATAAAGATTAAGTGATTTTGGACTAAAGAAGGCCTTATTAATTTCTGGTGGCAAAAATTATAA